ATCTCTATCTTCTCTCCAGAGGTTTCACTAAGATTTCTTTCACAGCTTTCTTACTTAAACTACTTCAATGAATTTTAAGTAATATAATGGATAAACGGAATGAAACGCATGATGCGTGTACGATTGACGCTCATCGTGACAAGATTCGTACTTATCCCGCATATTTATTTGATCGATAATCTTAGGACATACACGTAGATTCGATGACTACATTGTTTTTGTATGTTTTGCAATATTTCCTATATAAAATAATATTAGAAATTCGTTTGCGTTTGCGATTAATAATAAAGTGTTTTATACACTGTTGGCAAGAGCCTTTTTTCAGGTACCTAATCCACATAGCGTCTAGTTATAATTCTTTGACTTTATAACGGGAGCTAATAATTATAGTTTTATACATATTACTTATTAGCTTTCCGCTCAAGGCTTTACTCATATTTTCAATGGAAGTAGTCGTATCACTATTTAGCCTCCTATCTCTAAATATTAAAACCATACCATAAAACGTTCCATTTCGGTGTGAAAGAAATTCAAACAAGCACTTTCACCTGAATAATATTAGCAAGGATGGCATAAATTGGATACTCTAGCTAGTCGATATTAACCGATTAATAAAGTTATAAGAAAATTCCAACGCCGATTACAACACGAAATTCTATCGTCGCGGATCAAAAGATTAAAAAGATATCGTCGTAAATCGATTACAAGAACCGGACTGAAAACCGAAAAACGGACTGTTGTCGTTTTACAAATTATCGTTTTATTAAAAAGATATTCAGTTTCTAATGATCTTACATAATATTAAATCAAAGTAAATGAGATTGTTATCCATTCTATGCTTTTATTTCACCAAACAAGTCTGAAATTATTGTATAGTGCTAGCGAATAAGAAATTTGTATTTTATAGCATTATTTCGACGGTTTTATTGTGTAGTATTAGTAAACGTATAACTTATAGCGACCTCGTGAATAGCCCAGTCAGTCTGTAAAAATAAATGTATCATCAAGGACGAACGTTGTTAGTTGTCTCGCCGGCATAACATGATTGTATCATCTAGATATTACATACTGAGATAGGATATAACAGCAATTAGATAATAATAGTCCTGCCTCCCCATCCGTAGGTACTGTGACATTCCATTGTCTTAGTAATTAGGTTATCCACCATTGGAATATTAGATACATGCATGCTTCAACTGCCGCTTTCAAATCCCACTACGAATATGTTAATAGTTATGTCATAGGCACGGTTCGTATTGTAAGTGATTAGTGAGTACCAGTGGTCAACCTGCGGTCGACGCTCAACCGCAATTAATTAATGTTTATGCTTATGACAATTGCTTAACACTATTATAAATGCTGTAATCTATTGATCTATGTTCCATTTGAAGGGTTTATCTTCCATTTGAAATAAGTACTTATTCGAAATAACTTGTCGTCACTGCCAGTGTAGCAAAAGGATACAAGATATTACCCGTGTATTCGCATAAAGCTGTCTCATCCAAAATCGGAAATAAAAACAGACTCCTAACTCCATCGGAAATAAAACAGACTTGTAACTCTATCTGGATGCTACTCCGCCGGTCCCAGTGACATTTACGATTTGCGATGTCTTATGGTTTTGACGTCCCTTTATATGTGGAAACTACTTTCAACGTTTATTTTAGTCGACAGAATATGCAAATAGTCTGAACCATTTGCAATCTATCTAATTAATTTGAGAAGCAAAACTTTTATACAAATATCCTCGGTCGGAGGAGTAATGTAAACTTTATATTATAGAGAAGGACCTAGGAAATTAATTAAATCAGGGAGTTTCCGCCATCTTGCATTGCTATCGCATTTGAAATAAACGAAAATACAAATGTGTTTATTATTGGAAATAATTTATTTGTTAATGAAACATGGCAATTGCGATGAAATGTACAATTGGCTTCTAGTAATAATTAAAGGGTTGAAAATCTTCCTTCCAGAATCACACGGATTACAGTAAGGATATAGCAGTGGTACATTGAACAACGAATTAGTAAAATCTTTGAAACAAGTTGCAGCTCCACTTCTCTCATTTCATATTAACGCGAATGAGTCCATGACCTGGTAAAACTATTTGCACGTTAGCACGGGGTCGTGGAGCTGTGTGCCTGTGCATTTGTGCAACCCAATCCACTCCACTTGCCGTGCATAATTTACGCAAAACATAAAACAATTATAATTTATACGATACGAGCATACAATAATATTTTTTGTAGAGAACATAAATTGCGCTGTAAAAGCTCATGTATATGAGCGTATATTTATAATTCAGTAAGTACTTACATACGTACGACCGCGTAACTATAGTAACTCTGAAGATATCTTGTCGTCATCCATCACTCAGTTTCTAGTTATCGTAATTGAATGGTTTTGTGTCGGAAGTATTGTTACTTTGTCGTATCAAAAGTTTTTGTACAAGTAAATAACGAAGTTGGCTGTTTGCAGATAGTGACAATTCAAGTTAGGTGGATGTAATTTCTCAAATGCTTTTAGGACAATATAATTGTTTTCTCTTACATAAAAAATCCAATAAAAACCGGTCTGCAATAAACCCACGTCAATTAAAAATCGAACCTTTGACATGAAATTGACGAACCACTTATGTGTACATCGTATCGTCCATCGTGATGGTAGTGGATATAGAAATATAGGGCCCAATTTCAAACGGTCTGCTGGAGCGCGGACCGAACATTTTGCTTTGAAACTTTGAGGTTTCGAACACGGAGAGTGCGACCCTCTTACGCGGCAATTGAGTTCTGACTACCGAATCTGTGCTCATGTTAATTGCCCGCGAAGGAAATATAGTAAGATGACGAAAAAGCACTTAAACATGAAAACTAAATGATAATAATATGATGATAAAACTAGAAGATAACGAAATAACAAATTTAGTTTTATTTTCACTGTCTGTAAGATCAGTCATCTGTATTTACTGACAATTAAAGTTGCACTGTAATTAAAATAGCCTTGTCTCGTCCGCTATTTCCACGTAGAAACTTTAGCGGTTTATATCCGAGAATAGATGGATGGATTTGTCTGTCCTGTCCATATTACTTAGGCCTCAGCAGTTCATCCAAAACTATTCATATCACTAGTATCCACGCTGGCATTATTAGCCCAATTTATTGTGATACTAACTTGTTTGATGTGGCACTTAGAGCGAATATTTGCGTCGTTCTCACATTTATTATAACTATTACATTTTAGATTAATTCTATGATGAAAAGCCAGTCTATATTGATATTTAGCTACTAAAACATGTTCAAACAAATAATACAAAGCAATATTTTTATGTTATTTTTTCAAATAGCTTCGATCACAGTTGAGAATTCGTTTCTACTAACAAGCCAAACAGGAAAGTTGTTCGTTAGGGTAACGACATCAAATTTCTAAATTTTTCTCCTTACATTTTATTATCTAAGAATATTGAACATTGTAATATACATAGAAATTGGATATTTGCTAAGTTATTTTCAAGTCGTTATGTTTGAGACACAACAAGAAAAATGGGTAGCACCATTAGCAATAATAATTAGGTGGACGATAATCAGCTTGCGACTCGACGTAGCCTTTGACTTTACACGCTACAGAGAACTCAAACAGCTTTTACCGCATCTATTTTTATAAGAAAAACATTTTACTCCCCATTAGCTGTTAATGCAAATGAAATTCCTTTACAGAGGAATGGGATTATTATTTCCAAGTATTCATTAGTTTCTCCTTTGAAGGAACCCGCTCCTATTCGTGGATATTCATTTTCTAATTTATTTAGATTGTAGCTTTTACGCATGTGGTAAAGTTTAAATTATTAAATTATCAGTGGTATTAGATTTATATGCGTCGGTGAAGGTTTATATTATTTCTGTATTCTCCATTTACGCTATTTCTTGCCCATCTCTTATTTCTTATGTGTTAGGAAGCTTTCTTTACACAATAGTTAAATTTCAGTTGACGTTACAATCTTACGTTGCCAAATATTTAATTTGGTCCCTTTACAGTGGGTATTTGTTCACGGTACGCTTGAAACCGGTTTGGATTTTGTTCACATGACCTGTTTCCTAATTAAACATTTTTCATTCAAGGTGAAAACGTGCCATAAATAATAACATTCGTTTTGCCATTGTAGGTAACACGTTTTCACCCGGTTTTTACGGTGCGGAGACTCAAATTGGGAGGTAATCAAATATCACAGTCAATAAAAATATTCAAATTGCGCTACTAACAAAACGTAAAAAACATAGCGCGCATAGTGTAGCCCCAAAACAATGCTGTTATTTGTTTTAACTATATGTTGTTACAATTCGATTGCAGTAGGTACAATAGACACCGACGTTCTTCGCTTGTGAAAACCCTATTTTTGAATTAATTGTCCGTTGTTAAAAATAACAAAGTTTCACAAAATCGTATGAATATGTATGTAAAATAAGCAACATTCAGAAGGGGTCAAAGCTACAGGGTGTACTAGATTGAGCTCGGATAGCGTTCGAGTGACTTCGCAGATTACTGATTAGATCGAATGCAGGTTCCAATCGAGCTGAAGGCAGGTTTCACTGAACTTTGAGGTCCACTTCAATTTAGGTTCGGGTTTGGTCTCACCCTAATACAAAGTAATTTCAGCATAACATTTTGTTGATATTTTTCAGTACTTAACATATTAATAGAGCAGATTAAAACTTGAGAAATTTATGTTGCATGTTTATTTAATTGCTATAGATATTACCTGCCCTATTTTAATGTAACTAACGTGGATTTTGTAAGATGCCATAGGTAACTAATTTTCCAGGCGATTTTTCCAAATGTATCTTTCAGAAGTAGATAGATACTTGTTTTTTGATCCTATGCGAAATAGACGCAAACAATAGATACAATGCGATAACGAAGAAATATTGGGATATCGTTTTTATGTTTCAATTGCCTTAAAGTAATTTAGTGGTCCTAGAACTATTTTGGTGATGATGCTGTTATGGTCATAATACTTTACTTTTATAAATTCTGCTGAAGTTACCTACATAACTTAAAATAAAATAGGAATAAAACAATATGAAGTAGTTTTGCATCCTAGTTATCGGTGTCGCTTCGCTGGCGATGGCTATAAAATATCTCAAGTGGCGTCCCAATGAACGTCGGATGTGTGCGCCAGTTGTTGTGTAGAAAGCCTTAGATAGAGGCTGCAACGCTCGCCGGCGGCAGCGCAGCTTTATAACAGTGATTGGACTTCTTTTGTTTGCTATCGTTGGCTCCGATTCACACAGAATTTCAAGATCTGTAGACTTTATTACTCCTCCATAGGTCTTGACACTAAGCACATCCATTTACTGAAAACTTTCCCGATTCAGCTTTTCCTCCCTGACTTCTGCGTTTTATGTTGCCCGAATTTTTGCAACAGAAGAGAAAATTTATTCAATTGTTGTTTTTAAAGCCCAATTCTTGTAATAAAAAGAAGTTTCGACTACTAGCTTTCGTTTGCTTCGTGGCTGAGCTATACAGTTTTAATTTATTCAAGAAGCAAGTGCAACTTCTAAAATGATTAAAGATTTGGAAACTCCCGCTTAACTTATCATTGTTTATTAAATTTATAGAATAAAGTTTTTATATAGACATACTATTATATTGTAGTCTATTGTATTTATTGTACATCTGTGCAACGCCAGTAAGTACATCGGATCGAATCAATCCGAATGAACAAAACTTAGCGAATTGAAATTATGTGATGGACCAAAAAATATTTAACTGCCCAATTTTACCTGTAAATGCATTAAAATGGGGTGAGAGAGGGTGGCAAACCCCTGAATATTAAATGAATATCACATACTACCAAAAATATCGCAGTAAAGTTCGTAATTCTCCGAATGGGGTTGGTAATACGATTATTTTACCCATACCCATTAATCGAAGGGGTATATTTAAAAACAGTCATGTGTTGCATACAGTACAGTAAGTAATTCTTGTAACTAGGAGGCGGGACTGCAGGTAGGTGTGTGTGTGGGTGCGAGAGCGGGCGCGGGCGCGGGCGCGGGTTGTTGCGATTTTCGTGCGCGCGCAGCCCCTGGGCGAAGCTAAGCACCTCCTCTCGGGGTTTCGATGCTACAAGTGTCCAGTATTGCAGCCAAACGCATTCCGGATTCGGGAGGCACTAGACGTCTTCCTCGCGTGCACCGAACTCTCGCGGTACTTAGTGTTGGCTGAGGTGCGCTGAGTGAAGAAGCCGTAAAGTTTCTAAGTGTAGGTACCGCGATACAATTAATTTGTAAATTCAGTGCAGTGTTTAATATATACTGATTTGTTTTTTGTTTAATAATATTACAATTAATTTAATTTATTTTGTTTTCTTTTTAATTAAAATATTTTATTTTAGTAGAAATAATACTGCATTTTTATTTACTTTTTAGTTTTTTACATTTTAATTTTGTAAGAGAATTCACCGGGCGGTGCAGGTAAAATGAAGTGTGGCCTTTTATAACGAATATTTTCCGCGCTTAATAATCCCGTCGGGATGCGGTGTGTTGCATTTCACATTTTATTGAAATATTTTTGAAATGAATACACCGGATAAAGTCATCCGAGCGACGGCGACGGATATAATTTTTATTTAAACCGAGATTTTAATATTCATGCAAACTCTTCGGGAATTTTAAACTTTCGTGTTCTTTTGTGTTGGTCTTCTGCAATCAGTATTTTTTGCGTAACTGATACAAAACGAACCCAGTTTATAATCAGATTTTATTAAGAACAAAGTCGTGACAAACTTTGAAGAAAAGTTTTTAGATTTTTATGTGAACATTTTGTGAAATTAATGAAAAGTTTTTCATGATTCCAATACACAATCACACTAGTATGTCTCTTAGGTACGTATGACATGAGCCCAAAAATGATTTTAACGCAGAAAATAAAAGAAATAAATTTTCCTGCTATTTTTAGGGCTCTTGGGAAATCAAACCAGAACTATTCAAAGTTTTATGTCGTACAGGCTAACGAAAATATTTTTTAGATAGACTCATGTACCGAACAAAACGAGTCAGCCCTAATCAAATAAAATATTTTATCGGCACAAACGATTACTCATCTACACTTAGTCAGCTCGAACCAGACTATAAAGCTACCTTTTACTGAGTAACTTCCTATTTCCGAGGTGCGCATTTCCATTTAGTTAAGTGTGAAACAAATTGAAGTTTGCTACATGCCATACCAGTACTTAACATTAATTAGTTGCAAAGTGCGTTACTTGATTGCGAGTTCCTATATCAACAACCAGTGTGCAACGCTTACAGTTGCAATTACAAGTTTGGTGTCAGTGCAAAGCTGATTTACACTACATTAAACTTGGGAAGTGAAAGCGACGTGCCACCCTCGCTCTGCGTGCTTACTTTACGGTTGATTGACTATCGCATCATGTACATTTCAATTTAATAGACCCCTCTATTTTAATAAATTAAGTGTTAGACGCCGTAGGCATTTCATACGCGTTCTACCAAATATTATTGCCTGGGAATATTTAGTCATCTATGTACCTAAGTACATTCGATAAAACAGTTTCAGAAGAATTTAACGTCGAAACCTATGTTCGAGATACTAAGTCCCAGGTTTTGTTCACGCAAATGGAATAATCCTGCAACCGAGACTGTTCACTGTTCAGGACAGTTATCAATAAGAATTGTATATGACTGCTCTGTCTGATTGCAAATAAGGTAGTAAAGTGTAACGTTTTATATTGTCTGTCTGATTCGAGTAAATGTTTCCACTGCAAAATTTTTAAGTGTACAAATACAATGCATAAATTGTATCGGTCTTATTTCACAAGAATATTCGGTGGCACCGCCAACTTCTGGCTATTCGAATAATTAAAAAAACTTTGAACCAGTGCATGCTAGTGCAGTATCAATTATAAAAACGTTGGCTGTCAGTGCTCATTACTGGGAGCTCTTTCATCCATGTTTTTACACTCCGTCTTTGTAAAGCCGGGTCACCCGTTGTGTGCCGTGAGTCGTGTATATGGAAAGTGCTGACTATTGCCGGCTGCCTAAACGATGATCGCAACTTTTAACCTCAATTAGGCAAATCGACATAACACTAGCGTTCGTATAGAAACATAAAATTGCCTTTTTCTATGCTCCCTTCTATGTTAGTTTCACATGCGGTCGCTCTATTATATTGCCGTGAAAGCCCCTTTACATTTCCGAGCCGCCATATATGTCTGACAACTATTGTATCGATGCTAGCTTTGACTACTTCACCTTCACCGTCCTTTTCTTTTGTTTCTTCATTATGTGTCCAAACGTCATCTTTTGACAATACACACATCGTTTTGAAGTCTCTTTTTTGTCTTTGTTTTTATGCTAAAAACAAATACATTTTTAAAGGACAATCGTAACTGAACCCTGCCGTATAACAGAGCAGACTCCTAGATTTTAGTACATTGAAAAATCCGATTCAATCCCCACTACGTTAATTGAGTGGCTCTGGCTTAAAAGCTAGGCTCACAAAGGCTTAAACGACAAATAAGTGTATTAATAAGGCAGCACAGCTTGTATCCAACAAATTTTATAATTTCTTCCTCGCGTATTTTGCTATTAACTTTAGAATGTGAAAAATGGTTCTCGGTAAATTAATTAATGCCCCACAGGCTAAGTCTAAGTATATTGCTTTGTTTGCAATAAACTCATGTTGTGTGAGCCTTAAGTAAATTTTATTTGCTGTCTTTGTATTACAAATGTGAACGCATTTTCATAAAGGCAAAGAAAGTAATCCACTTTCTAGAATTGCTTTTAAATAAATCTAGATGTATTTTAACTACATATTCATTAACATCGAATGTCGTCTTGTGTCTATAGAATACATAAGTGACTTGATTTCAACTTCAACTACAAAAAGATGTCATAGAAAATCAATTCTCAATTTTAATATTCTGCATCTGCAGTTTAAACTTTGATACGAGTGAATCCGACAAAAACCGTACCATTTCTATACTTCAACTAACACGACGTCTCATAAGCTCTTTGCATATTATTTTTCTCATTTCACTAACAAGCTTTGTACGTATGAGTATCTCATAGGATTAAGTCTACTGTGCAATTTAAGCGGGCCCGTTCTGAAAGGATAGAAGCTTGAGTGTGCTCCACAAGAGTCAAAGGACGAACAGAATAACAATAAGTGTGTGTCCCTCTTGTGGAGCGCGACCTGAATGCTTTATATAATTTAGGCAGCATTGTGACGGAAGGCCAGACAGTGTGAGTGCGATGCCAAGTGCACCCTCTCTTTACACTTCGCATGATAACACAGACCTTAATGCATTGTCGCGAACATAATTCAAAACAGACGACCCTAAAACTAAAAGAAAGAACCCTTGCCCCGTGTGACCCACTATTACGGAGAGACTTAGCTTTCCCACAAACTCAAACATGTTATAAAACGTGGCTAGTTCTTAGCAGGATAGTTAGCCCCAATTTCGCGACTTTCTTCAACTTCATTTAGCGACCCAAGGCCGTGTGTGGAGGTAACACGGAATGTATGTTTTTATTTTTATAATTTATTGCTCTAGTGGCGTGGTAAGCCTTTAGGTCGTTGCTGGACTTTATATTACCTTCATTACACTTGTAGCCTTGTGGTCTAAGTAGTAAGAACCGGTGTAGACTTAAAGAGTTTTCAAGATGATTTGATATTTTTAACTGCCTGTTTTATTATACTATGGAGTGTCTTCGTGAGCTTGTAATAGTCACTTAATTGCGGTAATAATGTCAGGCGGCTGCCAGGCATTCATGAAATTGTGAAACGCTGCACGGCCGCCGCGACAACGTGACCAGCATAGCGGCCGTTTGCATTAAGCATCCTTCCAATAGCAGACGCCACGACTGCAACCTTTCCTTAACACATGCACGGATTGCAAACGACACTATTGTTGTGCACGCGAATATAGACACTTGGACCTAATCGAGTGCTCGGTACATCTTCATTACTATAATGACGTCAGTATTATGTTTGTGTGGCTAATTCGGAGAATACTTAGTGACTATTTTGGTAACATTCATGGTTATTTAAAAACACTATGCTTGATAAGTTCAAGATGTACTTCAAAACTAACGAAATAACAATAGTTGAAAATTATTCATTTTTTTGAAAAGTTTTATAACATCAACATTCGAAATTGTTTTGATCTCAACAATGATAAATGAACGCGCGTGTTTAGATAATAGCTCTCAATCCAGCAGCAACATAACATTATGAGTAGTGCGGGCGACGCGGTGTGGAGCGAGTTCGCCACAATTCTTGGCGCCACAACAGCTCTAACGTATTTATCTCGATGAAGCCAGAGCGCTTG